TTTATAGAGTATAAATTTTCTTTCTTTATTAATATGATATAGTGGTATACTCTAACTCACAGTACAGGCTAGGCACACTTCATAATATTCTAAGTTTGCCTTCACTCGTCAAGCGTGTACAGCATACATTTCCATTGTCCAATTGCAAGTTTTGTCCAATTTCTAAAAAGACTTAAACAAGGCGGTCTAAAAAGCTGTAGAAAGACTGCACCATACAATAAACTTGCATAGAAATGATTTTTGATGTGAACAAATGTGGCACGAAATTGATTTTAGTAAACAGCTTTGCAAGAGAATTTTTGGGCAATTTTGCCCAATCTTACATACTTGAGAATATTCTATAAGTTCTCGTGAAACAAACTATACTGTGGATTAATTTAAGTCAATGTCACTTTTCCAGCTGCGTGTAAGTCTGAACCACCCTCTGAGCGGCAAGCGTCTGTCCAAGATAGCGACGCTGAGGAGAGCGATCAACCGCATCAAGGCCCTTCGGGACTCCCTGGACTCTGCCCCGCCGGCGGTGGAGGAAGACAGCGATGGTCCCGTGTCGGAGTCCGACGCTTCCAGCCCGGCGGCATCGTCCCTAGCAGGCGATGACAACATGTACATCTACAGCAATAACACGACAGAATTCACCATGCAACAGCCGCCATTCGGTACCTCAATACTGAATCCACAAACAATGTCGTCTGCATCGTACAACACGAACGTGCACCACCAACACTACAACAGAACCGAGCCACAGTTTTTCCGTGAGGAGCCGTTTGACAGTTTCGATCTTTGTGGTGTACCGCCTTGTAGGTTTGACACCTCTTGGCCGTACTCTGGTTTCCAGTCAACTATGGCCTGGTGAGACATTTCAGAATTTTGTAAAGTCTTTCTAGACTATCTTTAAAACTTCTTCTATCTTTTCGCCGCAAATATATGAATATATATCTACTGTATAAAGTTTACGTTATGAGAGATAAATTATACGCAAAGTGCAAAAGATTTTTTTGCTTTCTACGTTATTCTATATTCACGTAATTGTTGCTAAATGTCTTTTTTTATGCTTGTATAGTTTTTTTAGTCTATACGATACCTTTAAGTACCTATGATACTCCGTAAATTTCACGTTTAGTGTTCACATAGGGTAGGGTTCATTGAAACGTTCTTTGATCAATTATGCACGTTTGACGAGGTTTCAATAGTAAGGCCACACCACCTTAATTTTATGGATGACATTCGCGCACGCATTGATTTTCGCCTGTTCTAAAAAAAAAGATCACGTCCACCGAGGCTTTGGCCTGGCTCTAGGCCTGGGTAGTCCATGGTAGTTAGCGATAATACGGAGCCGGGCTACCAAAGCTCCACGACTCAAGAGCTCAGTACATACGTACAGTGCCGATTCATAAATTCCGTAAAAAGTCAGCATGTGCCGGCTTGTCGTATACTGCCGCAAATTCACAATATCAGCTTTGTATTCCTTTGGTTTGGTAGCATTTTTATTTTTGGCCAGAATTTTTTTTTAATTCGCCCGCGCGCACTAGTTTGGGGGTCTTCAGAGGATGTCATCCATAAAATTAAGGCGGCTTGGCCTAAGATTAACAAGTTCACAACCGGGATCATTGTCGTCAGAACATTACACACGAAGCGCCTCTTGTAATGACCTGGCTCTATTGTTTTCAATGACATTGTGGTAAGGAGTGGCTCTTTATAGTAAGGCGTGTATAGGAAGTTACGTCGATTGGATTATCTGTATAATAAATTATCAAATAGATAACATCTGAAAACTATTTTTTACCAAGAAATTCACTTTATAACGGAAGCAAGCTTGGTGTCACTTTTTTGCTTCGTCATATAGTTCAAATTCAGTATAGAGGATGATATATATATTTTTGGGCGAGGAATTCAAGCTACGTTTACATATATATATGTAAATAGATAACATCTGAAAACTATTTTTTAACAACAAAATTCACTTTATAAAGGAAGCAAGCTTGGTGTCACTTTTTTGCTTCGTCATATAGTTCAAATTCAGTATAAATTATGATATACATATTTTTGGCGAGGAATATTCAAGCTACGTTTACATACATAGCCGTATATATAGATACACATACATCGGTTTTTGTACAGTAAGAATAGGCAGTGCAGTTTTAAGGCAACTTTTCTTTATATGAAAAAAATTTGTACCTCTTTTGAAACCTTACAATTGTTTTCTTAGGGATAACTTGTCTTCTCAACAATTTTCTTGTTTTTTTCTAGTCATAACAAGAAAAAAGTGTTTTCCTTTGTTCTTTGTACATACAGTAATATATTGGGATTGAGCTCATTTAAGATTTGTAAATGCAAAGGAATAATTGAAATAAAGAATGACGTCAGCTGGCTTTGATCGCTTGTTTGTGTATTTTTTGTTTGTTTACCGAAAGTTTGCTGGAAAGGTCAAAGTCGTACGTTCACCAAATGTTCCGGCCAAAAGCTTGTTTACCGACAAACAAAAAGCGCTGTGTTTAACAAAGAGACATTAAAATTCTTCGATAACAGTGTGCCAAGCTATGCTTTGCTTCGACTGTAATAAGTTAAACATTATTGAATTCTAATCAACACATTTACTATTGCTTTGTCATTTTCTGTGTTTAGCCGTTTAGTGTATAGCCATCGTATAGAAACTATATTCAGTAGCACTAGTATGAGATAAACTAGTAACAAGTTGACCATGAAAACTACCACGAAACTAACCGGATGAAAGACATAAAACAAAGCACACCTACAGGAACAGAAAATTGGGAGCTATTTCCTTGTCTCAAGGATTGTCTTAAGCATCTTAGCGACGTTGGTTCACAGCAGATACGTACCCCCACCATTATCTTGCCAAACATTCGTCGTATTATCGTCGTACGATCGATTATGGCATTCTTGGCCATGGGATAGTCGTGTGTGTGTCGTACACAATTTCGCACAGCGGTCGCTTATCCATAAAAACAGGTCTAGGCATCCTATTATAGCCCCAAATTCTACGAAAGGAGCCATGAAGTCAACACAAAAGGCTGGGTTAATACAATGAATTTTGAACTTTTAATCAAACCACTGCATTGATAGATGGAAAAACTGTAACAACTCGGAAGAAAAGGACTTTCCTCAACTGTTGGAGGCAAAAAAGATTGGCATTTTTGAGTTGATTCGGACCCAGAATCTTTTTTTTTTTGCGAATCAGAAAAAAAATGGAGAGGCGAATCAGAGAACCAACAAATTGAATTGGTGTGGCCTAAGGAGGTATAAAAGATTCACGGCATTTTTCTCCACATTCCGAGTTCTTTGATTGTTCTTGTGGATCCCTCAATGACGACATTGTGAGCGGGAATGAAGGACGCCGCTTTGTTGGGGGTTAAATTTACGACTGTATTACAGGGGAGTGTTTTCAAAAGAAGGAAGGAAGGGATAGTTGGAAAGCCAAGGGCGATGTACGAAGTATGTGTAGTGATCCTCGTCAAATAAACGCCCTATTACAACAGGGGTGCCGGAGTATACAGTGCAAATTAACGGAATACAGAGCAATTTAACGGAATACAGTGCAATTTTACGGAATACAGTTCAATTTTACGGAATACAGTGCAATCGTATCAGTATACAGTGCAATTTTACTGGTAACACTGCACGATATTCCGTAAAATTGCACTGTATACTAGTAACATTGCACTGTATTCCGTAAAATTGCACTGTATTCCGTAAAATTGCACTGTACACTCTGGAAACCCTGTACAACATTGGTACCAAATAGCCAAATGGCCAAACAGGTGCAGTACAACCAGGAAGGTCACACATACGTACGTCGTGTGATCTTCGTGCGATCGTAAACTATTCTTAGGACAGTCGTGAAGGTGTCTTGTTGCTGAAAAGGCTGCGTCTGGTATTCTTGTCGGTAGATGGTTCTGCCACAGCCTATACTTGAAAATTGGAGCATTAATTTCATACGACGAACTACCAAGGTAACAATCCACACAAGCAAGCCTTGTTCGTACGAACTATTTCTCTCCAAGGTATGTCTGATTTATACATTTTAGTGTCCCTCGGAAGGTTATCTTGATTTTATAGTCCGTACAACACATTTAGTACATTTTTTCGTACGTCGACAGTTATGCTGCAATTTTCTGACTCAAGTTGTCGGAAAGCAGTGGGAAGTCAAGACTGCAAATTTTCTTCGAAATGGTTTTGGTTCACGGATAAATAAAGGATTTGCGTAAAGGTGACATAATTTAAGGCCGCACCGTCTTAATTTTATGGATGACATCCGCGCGCGCATTGACTTTCGCCTGTTCTAAAAAAAGATCGCGTCCTCCAAGGCTCTGGCCTGACTCTAGGCCTGGGTAATCTATAGTAGTTAGCGACGGAGCCAGTGGACCCTGGAGAATGGCACCCAGGCTGCTGAAGCTCCACGACTCAAGAACTCAGTACATACGTACAGTGCCGATTCATACATTCCGCAAAAAGCCAGCATGTGCCGGCTTATCTTATACATCGCTATGTACTGCCGCAAAGTCACAATACCAGCTTTGTATATTCCTGTGGTTTAATACCATTTTTATTTTTGGTCGGAATTTTTCTTATTCGCCTGCGCACACTAGTTTGGGTGTCTTAAGAGGATGTCATCCATAAAATTAAGGCGGTGTGGCCTTATGGCACAACAAGCAGCGCCAGACACCTACCCTGATGTGTGACAAATGTACACCCGCCGCCGCCAGCGGTCAGGAAGCGATTGATTAGACCAGCCGACTGGAAGAACCACAGAGCCGAGGGGACGGCTCGGTCCTCAAGTTATCTCCGAGCAGATCTTTCGGTGGCTGCAAGGCAGTATCAAATTGGCAAGGCAGTATCACATTGGCAAGGCAGTATCAAATTGGCAAGGCAGTATCACATTGGCAAGGCAGTATCAAATTGGCAAGGCAGTATCAAATTGGGAAGACATTTTAAAATTGGCAAGTCAGTATCAAATTGGCGAGACAGTATCAAATTAGCAAGACAGTGTCAAATTGGCAGGGTAGTATCCATTTGCCATTCACTCACTCTCTCACTCACTCACTCACCCACTCTCTCTCACTCACACACACACACACACACACACACACACACACTCATTCACTCACTCACGCGCACACACACACACACTCACTCGTTCACTCATTCATTAATTCATTCACTCACTCACTCACTCACTCACTCACTCACACACACTCACTCACTCACTCGTTCGTTCACTCATTCACTCATTCACTCAATCACTCAATCACTTACTCATTCACTCATTCACTCACTCACACACTCACTCACTCACCCCTTCGTTTTATTCTGTGGATGGCTTGGGCTAGTCTATGTTACATGCCTTACGTGGTCCCAGGCCTTGAGGACAAGGACCGGTCAAGAACCTTAAGAAGAGATGATTCTCAGATTATCATAGTTGAAGATCTGTCCCAAACTCTAATCGCTGCTTCCTTAGGGCAGCGGTCTAGTCACAACATGAAAGTCATGAAAACTCATTCATCATCATCATCATAACTCAATTATCTTCTCCACCAATCAAACGAAAGCCGACAAAGTGACGAAACCTTGTGATGACATCACAAGTGTCGCAGCCCTGCGGTTTGGTCACAACATGAAAGAACGTGATCTTATTGGTAATCATAAATAAGTTATCCTGTCCACCAATAAAACGCCAACAAAACGACGAAATCGATGTGTGATGACATCACAAGCGCTGCAGCCTTAGGGTTTGGTACAACATGAAAGTCATGGAAACTCATTCATCATCGTAACTTAATTATCCTGTCAACCAATCAAAAAAGCCGACAAGCGCATCAAAAACAAGTGACGAAACCG